CCAGCATAATTGAGACCTCAGGGTCCATTGTTCTTTAGACAGGGCGCAGTATACGGCAAGCCTTGTGATATAAAGATGCCAAGCGACACGATGGCTAATGTAAGTCGGCCAACAGTCGTGGTAAGTTAAGCACTAATGTCTCGTACAACTCTCAAACACAAATACTAAGACTTTCCGTAGTTTTCTCAGTCAATTCATACATAAACGGGTTGAATTCTACATAAAAATAGGTCACACTGGGTCTATAAATCAATAATTCGTGACGATCACACAACTCGTATAGCGGTTCAAAACCTAGAAACTTGTTAAAAATAAATACAATATTTAGGTCTCAAGTCGAACAGCTTACCAGTGAGAAAACAAGTACATTTTATTAAAGAATTATCTGTTATTATTTCATCTCATAGTACAGCGTCCAACGTCCTATCCCTGCCCCCCCGGGGGAGGGTTAAAACGGACGGAACGTAAAGCTAATCACTCATCTCAATATATTGCCGAGGTCAATAATGAGTGAAGGGATTTATTCATCTCATGACGTCAGTACTTAAATGCGACTAGGCTACATTCTTATGTTGCCTCATTAATCAACTAACTACATGGCTTACGGAACTCGAAGGTTCATCACCGAAATGACCAAAGCACATTTTATTGCTGATAGCAATTGATACAGTCTGTATCAACTTCTCAAACTTTCTAAACCCTATCCCAAAAATTCTCTTATCCATTATGATTAAATCATATATACACCAAATAAAATTTAAATCTAAAATAGGATTACAATTTAATTTGTCTTGTTTTTACTCCAGTGTTTAAGTAAAAAAAATAAATATAAAAGCTTAACACGTGCAATTCCAAAGCGGGTCCATTAAGTATAATTTGCGGGCCAAAATTGGTACTCGAACCACTAGTCTAGAGCAGTGGTATTCAACCTTTTTTGTTCGCGTACCCCCAGATATAATTTCTCTTCAACTTTGTACCCCCAAAGTTGTTGGTGTATAATTCAAGTTATACAGAGTATATAATCTACTCCTAAAATAAATTAAATAAATTACATTACTGATTATTCAGTGTTTATCATAAAATAATATTTTTTTTTAAAATTTCACGTACCCCCTAAGATGTCTTCGCGTACCCCCAGATATAATTTCTCTTCAACTTTGTACCCCCAAAGTTGTTGGTGTATAATTCAAGTTATACAGAGCATATAATCTACATCTAAAATAAATTAAATAAATTACATTACTGATTATTCAGTGTTTATCATAAAATAATATATTTTTTAAATTTCACGTATCCCCTAAGATGTCTTCGCGTACCCCAGGTTGAATACCACTGGTCTAGAGTCCCAGAGTAGAATAAAACATAAAAGTCTTTCAACTGTGCATTTCAGAGCGTCAGCAGATTCATTTATATTTGAAGGCATGCTAAGTACTTTGCTGCCAAACAAAGTCGGACGGGTGTCGTCTTGAACAGATCAAAATTGAATTTGAGGGGTCGGAATTCAGAACGGAATTATATGCATGTCCGTGCTGCATTGTCCAGTGTAAATAAAAGCCTTGGTCCACTCGGAGGCAACTGAAGACATCGTAGGATTTCGTAATTAGACATCCTGAAAGTTGTACTGATTTTTAGATCACTTAATGATGCTATTTTAATTGTACGAATACGAATCTACATGATATCGTTACTGATACAAAGGACTTAGAGGTAAAATAAGGACAATACAAAGGATATTCTAAAAGGTGAATCATCGGTTGCTTCTAGACTATGAGTTACAATTCTGTTGTAATTTTTTTATAACTTGAATTGTTAAAATAAATAATTAACCTCACGCAGTAAATATTGTTTCTGCTACGCTGAAATTAATTTGAGGAAAATTACCCTGACTTCCTTCATAGAGCAGAACAATCCTTTCCCTGGTAAAAATTTTCATGTTAAAATATCAAAACGAAAAATTAAAACTCGAAGACCTGACATTTTTACTACTGAAATAGGAACTGAGAAACGAAATTTTAATGAGCTAGAGACAGGCTTTACGACTTGAGTAGATATTGAATTTTTTTTTTTTTTTACACAAATAGTTTCAACTTTATCCTATTTAATTTTAATGTGCTTGCAAAGGAAAACGTCTGTGTGTATCTACAGCAGCGAAGTTCACAAAGGAAAAGTCTTCTGCAAACAAAAGAGAGTCGAGAAGCGGAGTAGCTGCCTACAAATTGCCATGGAACTGCTGTCAGAATTAAATATTAAATATTGCACTAATTTCAAATTGAGTACACAGACATAAACCATGCGAAAGAGACTTTATTATTTTTATATTTTATCTTATATCTAGGCATTTATTCATTACATTTATGTAGAACCTATGATTAAACTTACTGACCAAGTTCCTATACAAAATACGGTAATTAGCTTATACGAGGTGCGATCAGAAAGTTTCAAGACTGTGTCAATAGAGGGCGAACCGGATGTAGTACGAGCTTCTGACTTTAGGGGGTGCGGCCTACATTCATAGTGAATCAGTGTGCCAGCCGGCATCATCGAATTAGCATTTGTTTCTTAGTT